CCAGCCTGGGTGACAGAGTGAGACTCTGTCTTAAAAAAGAAAAGGGATAACTGTTACTAAGTAGAAGTAAGTTATATTAGCTTCCAGGGAGAGCTAATTGCTTTGTTCTTACTGCTATGTCTGCAGCATGCTGCTTTCTTACATGAAACACACACACACACACACACCCCATAGTCACCACATATGCTATTCCCCTAGAAAAAAACTTTAAATTGATGGAGTCTCTCTCTCTCTCTGTGTGTCTCTCTCTCTGTCTCTCTATCTATCTCTCTATCTCTCTCTCTGTCTCTCTCTCTCTTTATCTCTCTCTCTCTGTTTTACTCCAGCTCTTTCTGTCCCCACCTCTCTGTCTCCCTCGCATGTGTTTTGGGCCCCAGAAGGCAAGCCTCTTTAGAGAATGGCTTAGCCTGTATGGATTAAACCTAGGACATCCATCCGCCTGCATGGGACATCTGCATTGCTGCCTGACAGAAATGTGTTATCTCCACCTTCTCTGGCTGTGGTTCCCTGGGTCTGTTTCTGCTGAGGAAAACGGTCATTCCAGGTGGGTATTTCTAGAGCCCTTGGCCGAATACCACCCCCAAACTATCTCAGGCTCTACAGGTGTTCATTCACGGCTTGGGACGTGTGCAAACCCCCTGGTAGAGGGGAGCTCAGAGAACATGGTTGTTGCTATTTCGTTTCAGCCAACGCTTGCCATATGGGAAGAGGGACCTGGCACCACCAGATGTTCCAAATTTCCAAGAGAAGGCAGAAATCTGGATATTTTTAAAAGCAAAATCCCTCAGCTTTTAAATGTTAAAACTAATTCAATATGAAAAAAAAAAAATGCTGTGTGGGCCAAATAAAACCTGTCTGTGGGTTGGAGCTGGCTGGTTTGTAAGCTCTGGTCTAGCCAGGCATGGAGTAGCACAGGCATGAAAGGGACAAGTGGAGAAAGAGGGGCCCACAAAAAGCCTGAGAAGGAGCAGCCACAGAGATGGGAGGGAAGCTTGGGGCAGGCGGTGATGCTGCCTCCTCCAGGAAGGCCTCCTGACCAGCTTCTGCTGACAGAAGGCAAGGGCAGCTCCTGGCTGAAGGATTCAGCATGTGCTTCCCATGGCTTAAGCTTTGGGAGACTTGCCCGCTTAACTGAGTGGCTGTAAGGATGCCAGGAGAGATTTCCAAGCACTCGGCCCTGTGCCTAGCATGTAGTAGGTTCTCAATAAATCAGGACCACGTGTGCTGTGCCCTCCTTCCCTCCTTCTTCCCTCCCTCCCTTCCTTCCTTCCCTCCTTCCTCCTTCTCTTCCTTTTTTCTTCCCTTCCTCCCTTCCTTCCTCCTTCCATCCTTCCCTCCTTCCTCCTTCTTTTCCTTTTTTCCTTCCTTCCTCCCTCCCTTCCTTCCTCCTTCCTCCCTTCCTTTCCTCCTTCCTCCTTCTCTTCCTTTTTTCCTTCCCTTCCTCCCTTCCTTCCTCCTTCCCCTCCTTCCTTCCCTCCTTCCTCCTTCTCTTCCTTTTTTCCTTCCTTCCTTCCTTCCTTCTTTCCTCAATAAATCAGGACCACAGATGTGTCTGTCCCCCACACACATATCGATGCCTACTATGTCCCAGGCACTGCTGCATGTTCTGGAGAAACGGGGATAAGCAAAAAAGACAAAGTTTCCCGTTGGCACAACTAAAACTGCCGGAGTAGAGAAGGTAGAAAATTGAGGAATGAACAGTGAGCCGAGTCTGTACTATCAGGTAAGAGGAAGCAACACATAGATGTGAGTGGATGTGGTGGGGATGGGGGCATAGGGGGATTGCTCCCTTTTTTTTTTTTTTTGAGATAGTGTCTTGCTCTGTTGCCCAGGCTGGAGTGCAGTGGCATGATCTCAGTTCACTGTAACCTCCGCCTACCCAGTTCAAGCAATTCTCTGCCTCAGCCTCCCAAGTAGCTAGGATTACAGGTGCCCACCACCACACCCAGGTAATTTTTTGTATTTTTAGTAGAGATGAGGTTTCACCATCTTGGCCAGGCTTGTCTTGAACTCCTGACCTCGTGATCCACCCGCCTCAGGCTCCCAAAGTGCTGGGATTACAGGCATGAGCCACCGTGCCCCGTGGTTGCTACTTATGTAACAGAAGGTGCTCGGGGCATGTCTCTGTCTCCATTTGGGTGATATTTGAACAGACACACAAATGAAGGACGCTCTTTAGTTCATGATTGGCATGACTAAGAGCCCAGGCTTTGCAGTCACACTATCTGGTTTCAACCCTCCTGTCTCGGCTCTTTATTAGCTCGGTGACCTTAGACAATTTTCTCAACTCTCTGTGCTTTTGGTTCACATAAATAGGATGAAAATAGTAACCTTGGCCAGGCGCAGTGGCTCATAATCCCAACACTTTGGGAGGCCGAGGCGGGTGGATCACCTGAGGCCAGGAGTTCGAGACCAGCCTGGCCAACATGGCAAAACCCTGTCTCTACTAAAAATAACAAAAATTAGCTGAGCGTGGTGGCGGGCGCCTATAATCCCAGCGACTCTGGAGGCTGAGGCAGGAGAATCACTTGAATTCGGGAGACGGAGGTTGCAGTGAGCTGAGATCGTACCACTTCACTCCAGCCTGGGCAACAAG